TTTGATAGCAGCCTTCAACTTCCTGAAGGGAGGTACTGAAGAGGATGGAGAGAGGCTGTTCTCAGCAGTGATGGATGACAGAACAAGGAGCAATGGTCTCAAGTTACAGTGGGGGAGGTCTAGGTTGGATATTAGGAAAAACTAGGAGGTCGGTGAAGCACCAGAATGGGTTATCTAGGGAAGTAGTAGAATATCCATCCCTAGAGATTTTTATGTCTCAGCTTGAGAAAGGCTGGGCTGGGATGATTTAGTTTGGGTTGGTCTTGCTTTGGGCAGGGGGTTGGACTCAATGACCTCCTGACGTCTCTTCCAGCCCTAGGATTCTATGATTGTAATTTAAGAAAATGGACAGCAAGCTTCTAACGCTTTCTCCACAGTAAGATTCAACTACAAGACACCCACCCATTACTCATTCACCATATGTACTCCCTTGCAAAACAGAGTTGTTTTGTGATTTGTAATGTTTGTTTCCATGTCAGATGTTAATTTCAGAATTTATAGGGCCAGATTCTTCTTTCCTTTTTTCCTGAAAAACATCAAATCAGCATAATTTGCTATTTTTCTGACTGCACCACAGATAAATCATCCCAGGATCTGTTGAATGCTCCTGAACCATGCTGTGTAGTGGCAGTGAAAGGCAAGAGGAAAAGTATTGAGGATAAACTCACTTTTTTCTATATCACCAAAATCTATCCCTATTGTAAGATACTGTAATTTAAAGTGCTCTCTGTCTCACAGGCTAGATTTTACCTAAGGCTGAAATAGGATTTCTGTGTCACAGATTCATACTGCCCTGTATTAATATTATCAATAACTGCACACAGGCCTGTTGAAGGGTGGTGGGGGTGGTAGAGAAATGGGGCAGCAAAAGGCCTCCCTCCCATGGCTGCCAGCAAACTGACTGTTGTAGTGTCCAGAAGTTCAGCTTGTGTCGTAGCTAGGAGAAGTGCTTTTCTAAAGAAAAGATTGAATCTTGCACCTACAAAAATGTACACACTGTCAACGTCATCCTTGTGCTTTGTATTCCTGCAGTTGAAACTTTGTCCATTGGTGGATCCTCTACACCAGGACAGAGAATGTCCCAGATGAGAAGGCGGGGGGAAAAAAGAGACACGGGAAGACATGTTCATTGAGCTCATGAGTTCCTCTGACACTGGCAAGACCCATCTAAATGCATGGATGCTTGAACTGTTGGAAGGCATGCAGGAGCATGAGCATAACACGCAGGATGAAATGGTGCAGCTCATGAGGGAGCAGAGACATGTTGAGGCATCTGTTTGAGATTCAAATAAGGCAACTGGACCTTAGAGTCTCACTGAACCCTATGCTGAACCTACTGCCCTCCTCACCAAGTTCCATCCCCTCCTCTTCCGGATGTCCTAAGAAAGGGGGAGGGGAAGCTCCAGTGTCCCCTACAGTCAACTCCATAGAAGGGTACAAGGAGCAGAAGGCTGTCATTTCCACTGGTTTCATCATTACCACAGTCCAACTTTATAGCAAGCTGTCCTTGCCTCTCGTCCCCACCCCACTGTTCTACCAGCTCCTTAGCTCAGCATTATCTTTACTCTTTTTTGCTGTCTCATCAGTGTTTGTGAGTATAATAAAAATTAATGGGTTGAGGATAAAAGAGTCTTTATTCACTCAACACATTGAGGTTAGCAGGGATATAGTTTACTGGGAAATCCATGCAATGAAGGGGGCAGCTTGTTAACAAACACCACATATAATTGTGACATCACTCTGAGTCAATAATGAACTTGGTTTTCAAAGCCTCACAGAGATGCAATACGTCTTCTTATTCCCCTGGCTTCTGGCTGCTCAAAATTAGTTGTAAGGTGAGCTGCCTCAACCTCCCACCATGCTGGAAACTTTTTTTTCCCTTACCGTCACAGATATTATGAAGTGCACAGGAAGCAGCAACAAGAATGGGAATATTGCTCCCACTGAGGTCTAACATACAAAACAAACAGTACCAGCGGGCTTTTAAACATCCAAAGGCACATTCTATCACCATTCTGCACTTGCTCAGCCTGTGGCTGAACTGCTCCTTACTGTTGTCCAGGCTGCCTGTGTACAGCTTTATGAGCCATGGGAGTAAGGGGTGGGCTGTGTCTCCAAGGATAACTATTGGCATTTCAACATCATCAGCAGTAATCTTCCTGTCTGGAAAGAAAGCCTTCTTTCAGCTTTCTGATTGGAATTCCATCATGCACCTGTCCTAATCATCCCACGTTGGTGTCCATGAAATGACTCTTGTGATCCACCAGCTCCTGCAACACCATCGAGAAATACCACTTGCAGTTTATGTACTCTTTGGCAAGGTGGTCTCATGCCAACATAGAAAGAATCTGGTGCCCTATCACCACACCCCAATAAGGGAACCCCAATGCAGCAAAACCATCTATTACGTCCTGCATGTTTCCCAGAGTCACTACCCTTCTTAGCAGAAGTCTATTGATTGTCCCAGCAATTTAGCTCCCTTCAGCCCCTATAGGTTTACCCATTCTGAATTGATTCCCCAATGACCAAAAGTAGTTTATCATTGTAAGCTTCCACAGAGCTATCACCACGTGATTCTTTCAACTATCGGAGCAGATCTCATTTTGGTATAGCTGCGCTTCAGAGATGGGGAAAACTCTTCACATAATTTCATGAAAAAGCCCATTATACATTATACAGTTCTGCAGTTATTGCTCCGCATCCCATTGCTGCACAACCATGCAGTCTCACCAGTCAGTGCCTATTTCCTGGGCCCAGAAGCAGCGCTGCACTGTTTCAACATATACGATTGTCGTCAGCATCTGCAATTTGCTCCAACCCACGACTTCCAGCATGTCTGTTTGTGTAGCATAACCTTGTTCCATGTAGTGGCTCCTGCTTAGGCTCTGAAAATACCGCAGGATAAAGCATGAGGTGTTTGCGATGCTCATGGCAACAGTTTATAGCTGACTGGGGTCCATGTTTGCCATCTGCTTTTCTGCAGGTAACCCAAGTTTAGGAAAAAAGGTGTGAAAAAGGCCTGGTTTGTTTACCACTGATTTTGATTGTAGCTTCTTGATAACCAACATGGGGGATTAGGAGCACAATTAGTGACTGGCTGGTGAGTCTAACTTCAGTGTTAGCCACCAGTATTGAAGTATCTCTTCTCCTTTTTGTAATCTGCCTGACCTAGGCATTTTCAGTGAGGACTAACCGATGCACCCTGGGTTACACCCTCATCCCATACACACCCACAGAAATCCTCTCTAATAGGTTTCTCAGATTCAAATAAAAGGGTACATAAGATCAGAAGTCAACCTGAAGATCACCTTTTGCTTTGAACTACAGCCACTCCCCAACTTACGGCCACCTCCACTTACGACCATCCGCACTTACGACCAAAGCGGTCGTAAATGTGGATCTAAGTTACGAACGGCGATCCGCGCTTACAAACAGTGCAGTCGCCATGTACACCCTATGGGATCCGAGTTACGAACAGTTCGAGTTACGGACCAAGTGTTGGTCCGTAACTCGTTCGTCACTCAGAGAGCGGCTGTACTAACTTTTAGATATGTAATTAAAGAACTAGACACTAATCATTTTGAGCAATCAGATCAAAGATTCATTAAAATTAGAATGAAAACAATCTGATGTTTTACTCAATCACAATCTGGACAAGTCCTAACAGTAAATTCTTTTTGAGACTCCTTTTGTGAAGATAAGACTGAATACTGCTTATTTGTATTCTGTCTCAATGAAAACATACCTAGGCTGACTTAGGAGATGCTTAAACATGCCAGAAAGACAATCTTTGACAAGACAAAACGCAGGCATTTCACCATCTAAAGTTCAGAAATTAATACAAACTAGATAAGATACTATTTCAGCTTTACATGTAGCATAAAGTGCTCAAACAAAAAGCAGTTGAACTAAAAGTAATAGCATAGTGTCTACAAATACAGATCAAAGTTCTCTGTGCATATTAGAGCATTTAAGTCAGAAATTTACATCTCTCAAAGTGGAGCAAAAAGAGGTATTTTATTGATCTTAAAAAGATGATGATTGGACTATTTTTGCATTTTCCTCCTCTTTTCACTCAAAGTTCTACTAACACAATGTGTTGCTAGAAATTACATTAACTGAAAACAACAGAAGGGAAGGACAATACATAGGTACAAGCATGTTGGCATCCAGATCAGTTCATGTGTTCTGTTTGTCACAATGTTCATTCATCCAAATAAGGAAGAAAACATACAAGACTGAATTCAACTTCAGATGCCGAAGAGCTAGGATCAGCGTATCAAATCTTAGGGTGGGAAAATACAAATTCTGTGGGCAAATGGTGCTGAATTTTAAGATTCTGATGTGCAATGGATGTGAAAAAATTTCAAGCTACTAAAAAAAGATCTTTCATAGCATTCCTTTGAATATAAGTAATGGGATGAAAACGAAATGATTATTGTACATTATACTTAATCTTGCATTATAAAATACTACTGATTACTCGCAGATAACATTAGAAAACATTTTTGGTAATCTAAAATATTAAATACTTTCATCAAATCATTGAAATAACATTTTTAAATACTACATGACCCTTCAAAGACTGCTTACTAAAGTAGGTTAGAGTGCATTGTCTCTCCCCATTCCACCCCATAAATAAGTACTTGTTAATGTTGTCTGTAATGTAGAAGGAGATTTTCAAAAGGTACAAAAGTCAGTTTGATGCCCAAATAAGAGAGCTGTGGTGCCTTAGAAAATCCCCATACTGTATACTTTTAAACAGAGCTTTCAGATTTTGAATACCTGCAATGTAATTATCCTGGTAGTTACACAACGTTGGGTAAATGACAACCTTAATTAAAAAATTAAAATATATAATAGACTTCAATAGCCTTTTAAATAAATTCATTCCATCTGCTAATAGACTCCATTTGCAATAGGAGATTAAATTACAGCATTTTAATATTTAATTGGCTAGAATGAATCTATATATAAAAAGAAATAAAATAAAGACTCACAGGGTAAATCCTCTGGAAATGACTTCAGTCTCTTGAATGAGTCGCAGAGCTTTTCTCACAAGATTAGTAAATGCACGGCTATTTGCTACTGTCTCTTCCAGCTGGAGACTGTATTTTTGCAGGGACATTTGCAGCTTGGCTGTTCTCCACGTGCCCAGAGCTCGTATGATCAAATAGACCAACAGAACCAGTTCCCACACCAGACAGAACGATCCATTCCACCATGAAGGAAGTATAACCAATGTACTGACAAATGCAAGCAGCAGTGAGACATCCCTGCAAACAAAGGAATAGACAAAGTGACATCTACCATCGACTGCTGAGATTAAGCAACTGAGGAAAGTCATGAGACTTAAGTATAAGGTTGCTTTCATTTAATTACATGGATTTTTATGTAGATTTTTAGGAGTTATAAAGAGTAACAAGATCACTTAATGGCAGATTTCGGTGTTTTTATGTATGGAATTAGTCTATAGTAGGGATGTAACAGTGTAGCCGTTTAAACAGGTAATCGTCATGATTACTGGTAACCCAACCAGTTACACACGGCTCCCAGTCTGGTTCCTGAGGAGCCAGCTGCCACTCCATGCTGCTGTTTCTGTAGTTGAAAAGCCAGTTGACAGTCCATGGGTTAAGTTTAGAGGAGGAAACAACAGGATGATGTTATGCTTGATGTCTGCTATAGACCACCAGATCAGGTGGATGAGGCTTTCTTCAGACAACTAAGAGAGGCTTCCAGATCACAGGCCCTTGTTTTCATAGGGTACTTTTATCAGCCTGTCATCTGTTGGAAAACTAACACAGCAGTATACAGACAATCCAAGAAGTTTTTGGAAAATGCTTTCTTTGCCTCTGTCTTCACAGACAAGCTCAGCTCCCAGACTAATGCACTAGGCAATGCAGTATGGGAAGGAGGTGGACAGCCTTCAGTGGAGAAAGAACAGGTTAAGAACTACTTAGAAAAGCTAAACATACACAAATCCATGGGTCCAGATTTAATGCATCTGAGGGTAGTGAGGGAGTTGGCAAATATTATTGCAGAGCCGTTGGCTATTATCTTTGAAAACTCGTGGTGATCAAGAGAGATCTCAGATGATTGGAAAAAGGCAAATGTAGTGCCCATCTTTAAAAAAGAGGAGGACAATCCAGAGAACTACAGACCAGTCAGCCTTATCTCAATCCCTGGAAAAATCATGGAAGGGATCCTGAAGGAATACATTTTCAAGCACTTGGAACAGGGGAAAGTGATCAGGAATAGTCAACATGGATTCACGAAGGGCAAGTCATGCCTGACCAATCTCATTAATGTTACCAAAAAAATATTCTCACAGGAGACCACCCAGGGTTACACTAATATGGGTTTATTGTTTGATGAATTATCACTCCACTATTTACACTACAAGGTTAAACCAAAGAAGACAGAGCTGCACTAAAGGTATAAACTAAAGAAGATACAGAGCTATCTCTCTCATACCAACACAAACCAGCATACACACACCTCCATTCATTCACTCATTCACACACATTTATTCCTGCCCTCAGGCACTCTCACAGTCTAATGGGTTGCAGAAGGAGCCAAGGCATGTAGATCCTGGAGGGTCTGTCTGCTCATCATGGCTGGGGTACTGGTCTGTAGGAGAGACACTGGCTGTAGAGAGGAGTTTCTCAGGAGCAGGGGAGGAAAAAGAGAGTCTCACATGTGCTCCCTCTCTTTATATAGTGTCTGAACGGCTCCTGTGACTCTTTCACCTCGTCATCAGGGAGCATGCCCAGACTTCCCTTTATCCAGCAAAAGCTGTGGTCTGTGATGACTCACCACCATGTACTCCATTGTTCCCAGTCTTCTTCAAACACATTCGCACACTCACACTCAAGAGAGAATGCAGTTTAGAGCAAGTTACAAGGAAGGTAGCCAAGAGTTACAAAGATCACAAAGTTGCAGCTTACAGTAACTTTCTGAGGGTTACAAAGATTACAAAGTTTGACAAAGATCACAATAAGCTGCAGTTTAAATCTTTAGGCCTTACATTTAGTGTAGTTTCAGAAAAGGAAAATGTATAAATCAAGTGGAGGCTTTTTTATGCAACAATTAGCTACTATGATGAGGTAACTGGCTCTGTGGATATTGGAAAGTCAGTGGATGTGATATACCTTGACTTTAGCCAAGCTTTTGATACAGTTTCCCACAATATTCTTGCCAGCAAGTTAAGGAAGTATGGATTGGATAAATGGACTATAAAATGGATAGAAAGCTGGCTAGATTGTCGGGCCCAAAGGGCAGTGATCAAAGGCTCGATGTCAGGTTGGAAGTCGGTTTCAAGTGGAGTGCCCCAAGGATCGGTTCTAGGGCTGGTATTGTTCAACATCTTTATTAATGAACTGGATAAGAAGATGGACTGCACCCTCAGTAAGTTTGCGAATGACACTAAGCTAGGGGGAGAGGTAGATACATTGGAGAGCAGGGATAGGGTCCAGAGTGACCTGGACAGATTAGAGGATTGGGCCACAAGAAATTTGATGAGGTTCAACGAGGACAAGTGTATAGTCCTGAACTTGGGACGGAAGAATTCCAAGCATTGTTACAGGATGGGTACTGACTGGCTAAGAAGCAGCTCAGCAGACAAGGAGCTGGGAATTACAGTGGATGAGAAGCTGGATATGAGTCAACAATGTGCCCTTGTAGCCAAGCAGGCGAATAGAATATTGGGTTACATTAGGAGGAGCATTGCCAGCAGATCTAGAGAAGTGATTATTCCCCTTTATTTGGCACTGGTGAGGCCACATCTGGAGTACTGCGTCCAACATCTGGAGTACTGTGTCCATTTCTGGGCCCCCCACTATAGAAAGGATGTTGATGCATTGGAAAGGGTCCAGCGGAGAACAACCAAAATGATTAGGTGGCTAGAGCACATGACCTATGAGGAGAGGCTGAGGGATTTGGGTTTGTTTAGTCTGCAGAAGAGAAGGGTGAGGGGGGGATTTGATAGCAGCCTTCAACTTCCTAGGGAGGTTCCAAAGAGGATGGGGAGAGGCTCTCAGTAGTGACGGATGATAGAACAAGAAGCAATGGTCTCAAGTTACAGTGGGGGAGGTCTAGGTTGGATATTAGGAAAAACTATTTTACTAAGAGGGTGGTGAAGCACTGGAATGGGTTACCTAGGGAGGTGGTGGAATCTCCATCCCTAGAGGTTTTTAAGTTCTGGCTTGAGAAAGCCCTGGCTGTGATAATTTAATTGGACTTGGTCCTACTTTGGGCAGGGGGCTGGACTCGATGACTTCCTGAGGTCTCTTCCAGCCCTATAATTCTACAGCAGTCCACCATGCAGATAGCGAGGAGTAGACAGTTTAGAAGTTCTGGCTCTGAAGCAGGCCACCTCCTGCTGGGGAAACTGGGATCCAGGATATTGGTGCTGTTAAATAGTAGAGATAATATGCTGGCAGGAAATCAGGTAGAATTGCATCAAAGTTGATATGTTCCTGTAGAACATGTTAGTTTTGACTAATCAGCATTTTCTGATGGAAAAATGTTCCACTGGAAAACTTCCCCCCCACTTAGTACTTATAGATTAGTGAAGCCAATACTTTCTTCCTTCAACACCATTTATAAACCATTTGTGTTTTCAAAGAACACTTGGAGCTACGTCTGCACTGGCATGATTTTCCGGAAATGCTTTTAACGGAAAAGTTTTCTGTTAAAAGCATTTTCAGAAAAGCGCATCTAGATTGGCAGGACGCGCTTTTCCGCAAAAAAGCCCTGATCGCCATTTTCGCGATCGGGGCTTTTTTGCGGAAAACAAATCTCTGCTGTCTACACTGGCCCTTTTGCGCAAAAGGTTTTCGGAAAAAGACTTTTGCCCGAGCGGGAGCAGCATAATATTTCCGCAAAAGCACTGACAATCTTACATGAGATCGTCAGTGCTTTTGCGGAAATTCGGCGGCAAGTTTTTCCGGAAAAGGGGGTTTTTTTCCGGAAAAAGTTGGCCAGTCTAGACACAGCCTTGTAGTATAGTACTCTGCATAACTTCAGTGTGTTTGATCCCCACTCTTATAAGACTATAAAGCAGTGGTCTCCAACCTTTTTAACGCCCAAGATCACTTTTTAAATGTCAGGGCATGCCAAGATCTTCCCCATCCCTTCCTCAAGACCCCAACTCTTCCTTGAGGCCCCACCCTCTCCATTCCCCTCGTCTCCATCATTTCCTGTCCCCAGCCCTTACTCACACTCACTGGATTGAGACAATAGTTGCAGGCTCTGGGGTGTGAATGAGGCATTTGGGTGTGGGAAGGGGTGAGCGGTGCAAGCGCTGGGAGGGAATTTGAGTGCAGGAGAAGGTAGAGAAGGGGATGCTGGATCAAGGAAGGGGCTCCAGGCTGGAGAGTGTTGGGGTCAGGTGGAGGGTTGGGGTGCTGAGCAAGCTGCAGGCTTGTGGCTGCGGAGGTGCAAGCGTTTGGGTTGGAGAGTATGAGGGGCTCAGGGCAGGGGGTGTTGAGTGTATAATGGGCTCAGGGCACAGGTTTGTGGATGGTGCAGGAGTATTGTGGCATGTGGATTGAGACAATAGTTGCAGGCTCTGGGGTGTGAATGAGGCATTTGGGTGTGGGAAGGGGTGAGCGGTGCAAGCGCTGGGAGGGAATTTGAGTGCAGGAGAAGGTAGAGAAGGGGATGCTGGATCAAGGAAGGGGCTCCAGGCTGGAGAGTGTTGGGGTCAGGTGGAGGGTTGGGGTGCTGAGCAAGCTGCAGGCTTGTGGCTGCGGAGGTGCAAGCGTTTGGGTTGGAGAGTATGAGGGGCTCAGGGCAGGGGGTTCAGGTGTATGATGGGCTCAGGGTTGGAGCATGGGGGTGCATTCTGATGCTGCGGCCTGATGGGGCCTTGGCCCTAATTTGGGGCTTGTTGCCCAGGCTTGATTTTTAAATAAAGTATTATGTACAACACAAAATGTTTCAGCACTGTCTTTATTTATGGGAAGAGTGGGGAACCTGTTTTGGGTCAGGGGCCACTGACCCACAGAAAAATCAGTCGGAAACCACACAAGTGAGATGCAAAGAAACAACCCTCCAAAACCACCCAAACCTCACTGATCTGGCCCCAACTGAGACACCTCACTCCCCTGACACTCCAGCCCCATGAGGAGAGTAGGTAGGACTGAGATTCAAGTCCTCAGAACAGATGAACTCTTCTGGGGTTCCAGGGTTAGTGGATTTTGTGGGCTCCTCTACACTCTGGGGTGGGGCCAAAAATGAGGTATCCACTGTGCATGACATGGCTGTCAGTGAGTTGGGAAAGAAATGGGGATGCAGAATCTGGGTAGAAAGTAGGGTACAGGAGAAGCTGGGGGTGGGTGTCTGGCCAGGGGAGGAGCAGGGTGCTAGATGGTGTCTGGGCAGAGGACAGGGTGCTGGATGGTGTCTGGGCAGGGTGCTGCTGGGGGTCAGGCCAGGGGGAGGGGACAGGAGCAGCTCAGCCGATACCTGGGGGTCCTTCAGGCAACGCTGGAAGAAGCGCATGTGTGGTTTCTTTAAGAAATCCAGCTGCTCCGGATCCTGTGCTGCCATCTTAACTACCCCCCTCCCCCGATGCCCTGCCAAGCATGGGGAAGGAAGGGAAGACAAGAAAGCGTGCATGCTTTTATGGGTAGGGGTGGAGCGCACGCTTTCTTGTCTTCCCTTCCTTCCCCATTCTGCTTTCCTTCCTTCCTGCGGTGGGGGGAAGGGGCGGGGAAGTCCCAAGGCTCTATGCCAGATCCGGTTTCTCAGGAAGCATGCTGAGAAGCTGGATCTGGCACGAAGCCTTGGGATTTCCCCGCATACTGCAGGAAGCCGAAGCTAGCTCCATTTTTGCGGGAGACTGTCACGCCAGGGCGGGCTCCTTGTTGGGAGTGGGGGGATTAAGAGGGGCCTGGGAACACTGCCTTGCAATTGACTGGCAGTGCCCCTGCTATCGACTAGTCGATTGTCATCGACTTGTTGGTGACCACAGCTGTCAGGCAAACCCAAAAGAGATACAAATACAGAGATCCACAATAAGAACCAATTTCAATATGCATAGTACATAATTCTTTCACACTATTTACTGTTTTTAGCAGACGCTCAGGGTTAAAGAAAGCATTGTATAGGGTTAAAAAATATTCTGGAAACGAAATCATCTCTAGGAGGACAGAGTCATAGGCAAAAGGGTAGACAACTTTTATAAACAAGACTTGTCTGCTATCTCTAATAGACTTCTTGCTGCCCTGTGTTGCAATTAAATACTTCTCGCTGATGTCTACATCTCTAGCAGCATGAATGCTATCCAAACTAAGGATGTTAAAGACTAGTCGACTATCTGATAAGCAAATGCTTATTGGATAGTCAGTCAACTAGTCGATTCCCCCCCATGCTGCCTCTTGGGGAAAGAGGGAGTATTTCAAAGGGCAGCGCCACACAACTGAGCCCAATTCAGCTGTGCAGCACTGCCCCTTTGAATGCTGCCTCGGCGTTTTAAAGCGGCAGTGCAGCCTGGAGCCTGGGGTCAGCTGGGGACTCCCCAGCTGATCCCAGGACTCCTCCCCAGCTGACCCCAGGTTATGGGGAAATGCCACGTGGAGCCCACAGACAGCTGGGAGTTCTCAGCTGACCCCGGGCTCTGGATAGCATTTCAAATCGGCAGCGCAACACGGAACCTGGGTTCAGCGGGGTAGTCTGAGTTCCCCACTGACCCTGGGCTTCATGAGTGTGCTTCTGCTTTGAAATGCAGAGAGTACTGGGGACTCCTGTACATTTAAAAGCTGGCACACCCGTATGTAGCCCAGAGTCAGTGGGACTTCCCACTGGTACTGGGCTGCACATGGTGTTCCACATTCCTCCTTTGAAATGTACAAGAGCCCCGTGCTTTGCCATATGGTGGCAAATTCTCCAGACCTGCCTCATCACTTCATTTTTGAGACACATTAGAAGTGGAATCCAAATTAATCTTTTAAAATTTCCAATGAAGTCGAAAGCGTGGCCTGAAGAAATCCAAAACCGCAATGTGAGAGGTTCCAACAAATTGTTTAACTTTAAATTGTTTAAAAATACCAAACAAATTGTTTAAAAATACCATAACAACTTTTCAACTGGAAAGTGGAAATCCAGTTTCCAGGTCAGTGTGCTTACACTAGATATGTACTAAAGCCGGCAGAACTTAACTTCAGAAGTTCAAGAACTAATCAATCACTTTATTTATTTAATAAAATATGTCAAAACAGCCATAAGTGACCATCATGCATACATTAAAACAGACCATGTAATACAAAGGACTACATGTAATTACTCACCAGCCTTCAACCCAGCCTATTCTTAAAAGCCTGAGGAAAAAATGTTTTTTTCTGTGTGCTCAGGAAGTTAAAAAATCTGGGCCTGGCAGACTAAAGGAAAGGCAAATAACCTAAACAAGGACTTGGGTAAAATCTTTTATGCTAAGAGCTTGCTGTTAGTTTCCCCATCAGTATATCTAAATAGTCATAGTCATAGCCATTTTCTGGACAGTACCAAATATTAGGAGTCGCTAGGGAGCGTAGTGTTGGAAGGTGTCCATTTTCCTGTTGCGTGGAATGCCCTGCAGACAGGATACTGGGGTCGAGTAGCTCAATCAGCTCCACATCCTCCTGTAGCAGAACTTCCTGTTGCAGGATGGTATAGAGAGAGTCCAATCGAAAGCCAACATCCTTAATATGAATGAGTGAAAGAAAAATAGGGCATTAATAGAGATTAAATTGTTAAAAAATAGCAAATCTTTAGTGTGTATAGTTCTGAAGAGTTCAGCATTTTAGATGCACTACAATTGGGTATACCACTTCTCTTAAATTTATTTAATTCTAAAATCTGCTTGCATTGAACTTGTGACCTGATCCTAAATGAGGACAATGTGGCTGAATTAGAAACATGCTACAGATTGTATAATGTAATTCTATAGGAATGATTGTAGGCATTAGAATATACCAGAAGAATTGAACTCCAGCTACAACCTGAAAAGTCTGTTGCACTTAAATGAATGTCGCTTTCTTTTATAGCATCTTTCATTAGCCCAGCAAAAAGATATTAAGATAGAGATTGTAAAAATCAGTCAGTTACAAAAACTGGCCATGGACCAGGTGACAAACAAAGTCAGCTGACTAGAATCAGAATCCCTGCCTGCAATAGGAGTCTCCAGGAGAGAGCCTCAAGACCTTTTCAAAAACCAGATGGCTGTGGAGGTAGCATATGCAGCTTATGTGGGGACAAGAAAAAGAGTTCCTTTATCTCTTGGGCAGTTCAAAATCAGTGTTGCCAGCCTTCAAAGGAAATCTTGATCTCCTAGGCTGTGGGAGTGGTTATTATGAGGGGTTGGGATGGAACTGGCAGATCTTTCAGGACTCCAGGAAGGATATGACCATTCTTCTTTCTTCATGCAGCAGAACTCCTTCCCAGTTTTTCTTAAGGCTGTATTTAAGGACAGCATTCTTATGTCATTCACACAATGAAATAATGATAGTGAGAAATCAGACACTGCTAGTTCTGCAGTGTCAGGAATGATCCACAACTATTTCAGTAAAAACATAAAGTATGAAACAACTGCCCTGTGTTCCTCCTGCTACATATGAAATGGTCAGATGCCAAGTCTCTGAGTGAAAGGAAACGTGGACCTAATCCATGTCTGCATCTTGGACCCTTTATGCCAGCTTTAGCTTAGTCAACGGACCACAATGCCAGTGGATCTGGCCCACAGATAATTGTTCAGTGCGGTGGGCATCCTGTGCTGATAGATGGCTACCTATGCACCTGGTTCCAGTTGGAACCCATGGTGCACAGGGCACGCCAGGAGTTACACTTATCAGGTGAAGTCAAAATGAGGGGCCAGAGGCAACTGGCCGCAAGTTATGTTGGACCTTATGATGTTATAACAAGTGTTAGTAGCTGAGATGTGCCCTAGGAAAGAGAAGATGCAAAGGTAGTACAAAGTTACATTTAAACCATTCCTGTAATCTCTATGCCATGTTCAGCTCTGGTACAGAGGTGATTTGGGCCCTATGTGTTTTCCCAGATTCCATCATGAAAGAGATGCTCAGAACCAAGTGACAAATTGGAAGCCTCATTCATATAAATGATCAGAAGAGCAATTTCTCAAGTAAGCAAGTGGCTTTACACTAGAAGCCAGATCTGAATTGTTAGGAAGCAATACATATATGGTATGGTGTTCTGTCCTTAACTTTTTTGTACAACTGAACTGGATCAAGAAGACAAGACACTATATTCAGTCTTTTCAGTTTTAAATAACATCTTCATTTTTTGTCAAGCTTTCCTAAGGTAAAATTAACTCATCTACATTTAAAAACCTTTACGCTGCATTTCAAAACTCTTCATTTTGCATGTAGTGAGCTTTGCATGTTCCTCCAAAACTGATGAATTTTAAAGAATATGTCAAGTCCCAACTGGTCAGTCTTGCTGACTGGCACTGAATGAGGCAAAATATAGACTAGGGATGTAATAGTGTCGTGGATAACCAATAAGCAAAAGCTTATAGGTTAGTGGTATAGATTATATGCTTTTTCACTCCCCCACCAGTAAAGTTTTTAGTAGGCTGGCCAGCAGCCCGGCTTACTCCTGGCTCGTGCTGTGTCCCGAACCTACCCTCACTGTGGCTCTATATTTAAAGTGCATTAGGACCCATGTGGGCAAACAGCCTGGCTCATTTTCAGCTTGTGCCGGGTCCAGGAGTTCAGACCCCCACTCCTCCCGGACAGGGGCTGCTGCCACCCCACGCTGCTGTCTCTGTATCAGAGGCAGCAGCACAGGGCGACAGGCAGCCAGTCCGTGAGGGTAGCTGGTTTTTAAACTGGCTCCCCTCGTGGACCAGCTCCCACCTGGTACCCTGCCTCTGATACAGAGGCAGCGCAGAGTGGCAGGGGGCTCCTCAGGAGCGGAGCCAGAGTGCACTGGCTGCTGGCCCCACCATTGGGGACCACAGTATAGTCAAGTAACCAATAAGAATTCATGAGGTTACTCAACTATTCAAATAACCGATATTTAACATATCTAATATAGACCAAGGAGAGGTGTAGAAGACAGGGAGATGCAGGATTGGGGAAGAAAATAAAAAAATACTTACCAATCGGTGGAGTAGATCATCTTTTTTCTTACATGGTGAAAAAGGAAATGAGTTTTTAAAGAGCTCAGCTAGTTTTGACAGGATGCCTTGCTAAAAGGAATAGAAAACCGAAATTACAAATATAAAAGAAACAACAATTTATTTATTTCTGCTTCAGTTTCTCTTGCTAAATCAAATTCCTTGTAACTGAAAGTAAATTTCACTTCTTCTATCAGGTTCAACTTCAGAGTATAGTAACGGGATGGGATATCTGTTTCTGGTCACTTGAACAATTTGCCTATATATAAGAAGGTAAAATAAAGCTCTCATTGAGTCCTTCATTCCAAGGTGCTATACATGCTACATTTTAAAGCAAGTGAAATTAGAGTTAGCCACCTGATCTGAAGGTTGTAGTTGCTGTCTGAGGTTATGGGACATTTTTTGTGGAAGAGCAGACATGCTCTTTTGGAAGCCCTGTCTTCCTCATTTCACAAGAACGACTCTTCCGAAAGAGGAGGCTTTTCCGAAATTTTGCACAGTTTAGATGGGCCAAATTTTGGAAAAGCCTTTTCCAAAAAAATAATCAGAAAAGGTACATAAATTGTGGAATGCCATTTGTGTACCTTTTTCCGAAAAAATCCACAGTCTGTACATAGCCCGAGTGTGAAAGATTCCCTCCCTCCTTGAGAATAAGAGGAGAATCTAGCAGGATCAAATGATCTAAAGAACCTAAAGTAAAAAGGACTGCGAATGAGGACCTGTTTTTTACCTATGCATGTGCCACAACTGGAAGAGAGAGATTGAGGCTCACCTAGTGGACATAGATATTAAAGGTACTGAGGCCCAGTAATGACCATTGCAGTAACTGTTCCAGAAACTCAACCTCAGATTAACACTAGGCATCATATACCTGCATCTCCAGGCTACATCACACACAACCTAAAACCCGGCTTTCAGGTTCATGTATGAATTGTAGGCCTCTAATTAGGGACAGACTCCCTATCCACACAGATTTCAAATAACTACTAACCCAAGCGAATAATCAAAAACATTTCCTTAAAATCACAAAAAATTAGAATTCCTAATCTGTTAATAGTACAGGCAGTCCCTGAGTTATGCGGATCCGACTTATGTCGGATCCGCAGTTACGAATGGGGTTTGCTGCCCGTCTCCCTGGTCTGCTGGACACCAGCAGACCAGGGAGACGGGAAGCAAAGCCTCTGAGGACGCCGGCAGCGGGACAGCTGCGGCGCGTCTGGGCTGTCCGCTGCCCGCGGGCTCCCCCGCTTTGCTCCCTGTCTCCCTGGTCTGCTGGACACCAGCAGACCAGGGAGACGGGAAGCAAAGCCTCTGAGGACGCCGGCAGCGGGACAGCTGCGGCGCGTCTGGGCTGTCCGCTGCCCGCGGGCTCCCCCGCTTTGCTCCCTGTCTCCCTGGTCTGCTGGACACCAGCAGACCAGGGAGACGGGAAGCAAAGCCTCTGAGGACGCCGGCAGCGGGACAGCTGCGGCGCGTCTGGGCTGTCCGCTGCCCGCGGGCTCCCCCGCTTTGCTCCCTGTCTCCCTGGTCTGCTGGACACCAGCAGACCAGGGAGACGGGAAGCAAAGCCTCTGAGGACGCCGGCAGCGGGACAGCTGCGGCGCGTCTGGGCTGTCCGCTGCCCGCGGGCTCCCCCGCTTTGCTCCCTGTCTCCCTGGTCTGCTGGACACCAGCAGACCAGGGAGACGGGAAGCAAAGCCTCTGAGGACGCCGGCAGCGGGACAGCTGCGGCGCGTCTGGGCTGTCCGCTGCCCGCGGGCTCCCCCGCTTTGCTCCCTGTCTCCCTGGTCTGCTGGACACCAGCAGACCAGGGAGACGGGAAGCAAAGCCTCTGAGGACGCCGGCAGCGGGACAGCTGCGGCGCGTCTGGGCTGTCCGCTGCCCGCGGGCTCCCCCGCTTTGCTCCCTGTCTCCCTGGTCTGCTGGACACCAGCAGACCAGGGAGACGGGAAGCAAAGCCTCTGAGGACGCCGGCAGCGGGACAGCTGCGGCGCGTCTGGGCTGTCCGCTGCCCGCGGGCTCCCCCGCTTTGCTCCCTGTCTCCCTGGTCTGCTGGACACCAGCAGACCAGGGAGACGGGCAGCAAACCCCATTCGTAACTGCGGATCCGACATAAGTCGGATCCGCATAACTCAGGGACTGCCTGTACTGGGATAGGCTATGGTCTAACGGTTACAGGCAGGATAGCCAAGTGCATAGATTTGACATTTGTTCTGAAAGACAGTGTAACATTGACTTGATGTAGCAACTCAAGAGAAAAACTTTAGACACCCAATTAATGAGCCTGTCATTTCCACGAGACTTTTTTTTTAAATAAAACCAACTCATTGCTTGACGTGGAAAAGAAGAAAACTCCCAATTTATTTTTATGAAAGAATATGTGTTACTTAGTTTCCCCTCTCACTTTGTATTGCAGAAAGAAGTTAACTACTTTCTTGAAGCAAGTTAAGCTATGCAGTAACAGTGGGGGCCAGGGTAGTTACTAAGCATAAATGAACTAGAAGAACTAACAGCACTAGGGGGTAATTGTGGCAAATCTTTAGACAAGTAAACAAATCTGCAAATTGCCATGACCTGGAACAGACTGCATAGACTGATTATGCTAGGATTTAAGGAGGCTATGAAGATAAAGAACCAAAAAGAGAACAAAGTAGAAAACCTGCTACAGAAAAGAAGGTTACAAGGCACTGGCATAAGACTTTAACCTAGAGGACAAAACCCTATGAAAGAGGATTTTTAAAACCTGCCATGGTCTCTAAGAGGAAGATGGGTGGCAACTAGAAAGTCAAGCATGCATATATGTTGTATTATCGCTTTCAAGATATGTTTTCTCTGTACTGGATTTGTTCAAAGAAATACTTTGCTTTATGAAGAAGGGGTGGCCACTGACATTGTCCCTGGTAGATAATAGGACCACAAGTGCTGAAGTAACTTCAGGCTTGTCTATCATAAGAACATAAGAAGAGCCGTACTGGTTCAGACCAACAGTCCATCTAGCCCAGTATCCTGTCTGCCGACAGTGGCCAATACCACATGCCCCGGAGGGAGGAAACACAACTTGATCCCTACCCTGTCATTCATTTTCAGACAAACAGAGGCTAACAGCCATGGAGGGACCTAAACTCCATGAATCTATCTAGCTCCATTTTAAACCCTGTTAAAGTCCTAGCCTTCATCGCATTCTCTGGCAAGGAGTTCCACAGGTTGACTGTGCACTGAGTGAAGAAAAACTTCCTTTCGTTTGTTTTAAACCTGCTGCCTATTCATTTCATTTGGTGACCCTTAGTTCTTATATTGTGGGAATAAGTAAATAACTTTTCCTTCTTCACCTTTTTCCACACCAGTCATGATTGTATAGATTTCTATCATATCCCTCCTTAGTCTCCTCTTTTCTAAGCTGAAAAGTCCAAGTCTTTTTAATCTTTCTTCATATGGGACCCGTTCCAAACCCCTAATTATTTTTGTTGCCCTTTTCTGAACCTTTTCCAATGCCAATATATCTTTTTTTAGATGAGGCGACCACATCTGGACGCAGTATTCAAGATGTGGTCATACCATCATGGTTTTATATAGAGGCAATAAGATATTCTCTATCTCAGGGTATGTCTACACTACAGCACTAATTCGAACTAACTTAATTTGAATTAGTTAATTCGAACTAAGCTAATTTGAACTAGTGCATCTAGACCTAAAAACTAGTTCGAATTAGCATTTTACTAATTCGAACTAGCATGTCCACATTGAGTGGATCCTGAACCGAGGTTAAGGCTGGCCAGAAGCAGTGCCGGCAGGGCATCAGATTAGGACTTAGAGCGTGGAGCTGCTGTCTCAGGCTAGCCGAGGGCTGTGGTTAAAGGCACCTGACCCCCACCCCGGACAGACAGTTCTAAGGGGTTCCCCACTCTCTTGTCTAACTCGATGAGGGACAGCAAAACAGTCCTGGCTTGGAGTGCCCTGAATGCCCACACTCGGCACATCACAGCATTCGGCCTTCAGCCTGACTGCACTTGCCGCAGGCTGCCATCTGGGGGGGGGGTCAATCGGGGGGCTGCAGGAGAGCTTCCACCTCGAGGAGCCCACAGAGCCACCCCAGTCCTTCCCATCGGGGGCCCATACCCCATTCCTCCCTTTCCTCCTTCCTCTTACCCCTCCCTAGCCCCCCTTCCTGATGTATAAAATAGAAGCTCTCTTTATTGAACAAAACTCGGGGAGACTGGGAAAAGGAGGTGGGAGAGGGGAAGAGAGAGGGTGGGAGAGGGGAGGAGGAAACCTGGGAGGAGGGAGCTGGAAGGGGGAAGCCAGGGGAAGAGGGAGGAGGGGAAGTATCAAACTATGGTACGCCATATCTTCAGTACTGTGTACATATGTGATCTCCTCACCCCAGTAAAGATATTTTGGCCTTGGAAAAGGTTCAGAAAAGGGCAACTAAAATGATCAGG